TCAGGGACCTTGTCCAAGGCTTTCTGGAAATCTAAGTACACTATGTCCACTGGATCCCCCTTGTCCACATGTTTGTTGACCCCTTCAAAGAACTCTAATAGAATCTGAGTCTGTATCTAAACTTCGTGTTTCTCTGGGATTAGGCACAATGAATCCCCTTGGATTTGATAAGGCTAGGTTGAAATTCTACTGCTAAAAGAGACCGAGATGGGCTTCCGCAGGCTGTACTGAACAGGTAGTTGATGGCGTATGTACATTTGTTTCACTGTAGGTTCTTGTAGCTGCTGTGGCTTTTTGCAAGGAAAATCCCCGCAGTGGCATCTCTACAGATATGGTACAATGTGCCATGTACATTGTGTTCACAGCTCCTTTACAGAGACCCATCTGTCCTGTTGAATGAACACAGTTACCTTTAAAACCCAAGATATTTTTTATGCCCAGAAAATGTGTCTTTCCCCCAAAGTGGTTTCCCTTCTCCATGCAGAAAGGAGAATGGGTGGCTTTGCTGGGATTTAGAATATGGAAACAAAGGTCCATAAATAGCCTTTTCCCTCCCCCGTTCGTCAGCATCTTTAATTTAGGTGAATATGTTTTCGTTTTAGTTCAAGTAAAATTTTGAAAAGGAAAAAAGAGCTGCAAGTCATTAATTTAAAATAAAAGCCACAGAATATTAGGCTGCAATAAACCGATTCCAGTGCCCTGTGCTGGAACCCTACAAGAATGTGATTAAATATAATAAACCTCACGATCTAAAGACCTGCTGACGCCTCTCGGGGAAACCCTTGGAACCCATTCTGTTTTCAAAGCCGCACCGCTGACGCCCCATGCATTTGACCCTCCTTGTCTCCTTGTTCTTTATTGCGAAGGATCTTTGCATGAAAACAGGACCTTTTGTTGCTTAGGAATGGGGCGTAGAGGCTGCAGCTGCAAAAATTTAGGTTAAATATTTGGAAAAACTTTTATGGCCAAAAATTCCACACGTGCAATGCCTCTGAAGTCCACAGGGTCCCACCAGATCTCACTGGGATTGGATTGGGCCATGTGGCCCGGGAAGACAGTGAGACAAGATGAGACAGGAGGCTGTGGATATGCCACCAGTGGCAATCCAAGGTTTAAGACTAGTGTACCCACCTCTTAGGACATGTCCACATGGGGTTTTTACCTCGAGTTAACAGATTCATAGATCCCAAGTCCAGTCTGATCATCTAGTTGGACCTCCTGTATAGCACAGGCCAGAGACCTGCCACAAAATAATTCCTGGAGCAGAGCTTTTGGGAAGAAAAAATTGTCAATGATGGAGAATCCACCATGGTACCACCCTTGGTACATTGTTCTTCTGTTCTCCCTGCAGCGGCGCCTTTCCGATACGGATGCCCAAGCTAGCATGTGGCTATGGAACATTTAAAATGCAGTGATGGGGCTAGACCAAGTAATCTACCAATCAGAACACTTGACAGCTGTGTCCCTATCTCCTGCCTACCCCTAATACACTGCAGCCAATAGAACTGTTGCATGCAGATTAGTTGTAGAGGAAAAGTGATGTCTCAGTGAGTCCATTTAAGAGTTCCACGAGCTGTGGACTTGGTCCTATCCATAGGCTGTATAAAGCATAACAGTTACGTACAACAATCAGTAGTAATTTAGCTTAATTACAATTTAATTTCTTCAAGTGTGTGCACACATAAGATTCCATTGAATTTTAACTACACGGAAAGTTTGAAGAATCTGTGTTATTCAGTTATTAAGATAATTTGGGACAAAGGGGAGATGCAAAATGTGTTAAAGGACCCCTTTTAAAATTGTATTTGCTAAACTAGTTAACAGATTTATTTGTAATGTCTCAGAACATTAATTATGTTTTCAAAGATAAGTGCTGGATATTCTGTATTTGTCATACATAAAACAGGGATTCAGCCTTCGGGTAGTGCACAGCTCAATTCAACCTTCACTATGGAGTTGCAACTAGCACCTCCATAATGATAATCCCCATCCCTCAGGAAACTCCAATATTTCAACATTTGCCTGGTGAAATTCTCAGATTTATTTGTTGTTGGCAGCTATATGTAATTTTTACCATTGAATACTCTGACATCTGTAAGTGTTCATTGCAGATATTCACGTACTTATTATTATGTTCAATTATTATTAGTATTGCAACAGTGCCCAGAAACACCCCAACCTTGACTGAGACATCGTTGTCCAAGGGACTGTACACACCTTGTTGGTAGACACAGTTTCTGCCCCAAAGATCTTAAACTCTTGCAACTTGTGCTGTTTGGCTAGTTATTGTGCTACTGCTTCTGTTCCCTGAATGGATCATTTATGCAACTAACTAGCAGAGAAAGTAGCAAATTTTACAACCCAGTAGCTTTTGACCACTGTTCATCTCAATGCTTGCTCTGTATGAGTCCTCACACCAGCTGTGCTGGGAGCCTGTGCCCCACTTAACCCTTCAGAATAGGACTTGAGTGATAGAGAGTCCGTGTGCTCATCTGTGCTGCACAGTGGTGAATTTCCCCCACT